AGCCCCCTTAGGGTAGAAGCCGAGTCTAAGTCCTGGGCTTCCAAGAAGCAAGGAATCTGGCTCATTTACAAAAGATGGTGGTGTAAGTAAACGCTGTGCTCGCCTCTTCCCATGACCGCATCAAAATGAGAACTAATTATAGGACAGTCAACCTGGAGAACCATCTAAAGCTTATTGAACAGAAGTCCTATAACTAAAGATAGAAAGACGCTACATGAAGACTGGAAATAAATAAATTTTCAATATGGCACATAAAATAATGACTAATAGGCAATTAAAGTTTGCAGTGGATGAGAATTAAAAGAAATGAAGGGCGGGTTGGTGCAAAGCTAAAAGATAGAAGGGTAGATGAGATGACTTCCTTGATCAGATAACATACTGTCCCAAAGCCAAACCCATACCTACCTCACAAAAACCACAAAATACTTGGTCAGGTGAATTTCCTGGGAAACTGAGAGCACACTATGCTATGGCAATCTCTGGGCAGAGGACAGAGAGGTGCCCAGGTGACATCTGGATTACAATTAGAAACAAGTCTCTACACTTGTTTCTTATACACAGATATTCTTAGCAGACATACACCACAATGTTCTAGAAACTACCTACTGAGATATTCAGAGGCTGCAAACAAGGTGACTGTTTTTTGTTTTATTTTGTTTGGTTTTTTGCACTGTATAGTCACAGTTTTGGGGGGAAGAAACTATTGTTAATACGCGCTCTCATTATAAATTTGTTTTTAACACAGTGCATAATTTTGAATAGGCTTTGACTCACATACATTATGTAACACCTTTTGAAGGTCTCACAAGGCAGACTATACATTTTTACCATAAAATTACTTAATTCCCATTTATTGAACTCCTTGGAGGGCATTACTTTCTGAAGTGACTACCGAAAACAGAAGCTGCAAAGAAAATTACAATTAATAAATATACGCATGGTCTTAGAAAATACATTTATCAAATCTTCATCTTCAATGTAGAAAAGCAAAGACGAGCTCAGAACAAAAAAAGGTAAGGCCGTCATTTTAATCCATCAAAATGGTGTCATCCTATTCCTATTTACCACGATGGTAAGCAAAGACCAGGGCAATTTTCTAGCATCTTCACCCTGCAGGCATAAGCATGTTCAAATATACTGATACAAAAACAGATTGTTATATTGTTTCATTTCTCATACTGGTATGGATAGCTGAAAATCAGTTCAATTAAAAACCCGTTACCAAAACATACTTTTCTATATTACCTCTTCACCTGAATTAACTAGGCTTGTGAACACAATAAAATTCTAGTTCAAAGAAGCATAATAAACACATAATATGCATAAGACCTAGCACTCTATGGCAATGACACTGCCTAGTTAACAATAATGGACTCTGTGCAATCCGTCAGTTGGCAGTGGCTGGAAGTGTGTGTGGGGGTGTGGGGGGGGAGCGGGGGGCGGCGCGTTGTGGACTGCCTCAATGATTGGCCATGGATCCTAGACAACACACAATGTACCAGGACCATCACTGTGCCACCACCAACAAAAAAAACAACCAAAAATGCTCTGTGCCTCTTTTGAGGAACACAGGTTACCAAAGGGGAGGGCGGGGGGGGCCAAATCCAGCATCAGTATTACCTGGGAACTTGTTTGAAATGCACATTATTTAGGGTTGGAACACAGAAATTTGTTAATGAGCCCCCAGGCGATTCTGATGCTCACTGAAGTGAGAAGCAGCAAGTGAGAGACCGCCAAGGCTATGTCTTTTCAGAGCAGGGGGTCTCGTTTTCGCACTGCTGTACTTCAAGCTATGAAAGGGCTCAGTACACAACAGGACCCCTGACAGTACACACTGGAGCAATGAATAAATTCACATGGTCAAGTTCTGAATGACATGGCTCCCCCCATCAATCCTATGAGACTGAGAAAGTACCACTTTGTACACAATCACTCCAGTTATTATGCTCAGTTTGCTAACTGCTAGCTCCATAGTGATCCTAATGTTTAAAATAGCCTAACCAAGTCCATGAACATATAAATATTTTAACCAAAGGATTAACATTATAGACTAACCACTGAACAAGTCACTACTGCCTCTAATGCTAAAAAGGCCAAAAATTATTAAAGGATAATCACTATGTGTAAGATTGTTTACTTTTTCTCATTACATAAAAAGATCAGCAACATCTGTAAATCAAAGCAATTGATACGGATTTACATTATATAATATAAAAATACCCTGAGGAAAAATTATTCTGGCAAAATGTACACTAAAAGGTGTCCTCTATTTTCACAATATGAAGAATTTGCAGAAAATAAATTTCAATAAGCATACAAAATTAAAATGTAGGTAACTCATAGTGATAGGATTATTTACATAGTGCTTTAGAAACATATGCAAAAATCTAACTTTCATTCACAAAAATCTGGCTAGTTGACGTTTTACATAAAAGGCAGAACAAGGAAGACTATGTCTATAAAACATAATGAATCACTGTGGCTGCTCATTGAAGTGTGTGATACTGCCTCAAATATATTTATTTTCTACTAAACTGAGATGTATAATACATAATAACAATGTGAAGTTGATTCTGTAATGACAATTTCAGAGCTAGAAACAAATTTTAGATATAAATATCAAATTCCAAAGCTTCAGCACCACCGACGATGCATTTGCTTATATAAAGCATGTAAGAAAGGTAAGGTCCACTACTGATACAATGCAAGACCCCTGTATGTAATCAACTAAAAAAATTTTATTAACTATACTTTAAAAAAAATAAGGACAATTAAATAGAAAAAAATGTCATGTATTCAAACTAAGTACACTTCTTAATTCTACCTAATCCTACTATTTTGAGTCTTAATTTTGAGACAAATACCTTACATGAAATTTGGGTGACTATATTCTATGAAACAGAACTGAATACCATCTCTTCTAACATTTAATTATTTAACTCAGAGAGACAAATTAAACAGTAATGCTACCTTAAGATTTTAAAATAAACATAGTCAATAAAATATAGGATCTGTTGCAGAGGAGAGAGGAGTTGGTAGAAATAACAGTAATTCAAGCCATAAACCAATATACTTGAAAAATAATTTTTAATGGAAATTATGAACTCTAGCTAAATTACTTTAAGGAATGCAGTATCCTCCATCTAGAAAATATAGGCTTCTCTTACTGAAAAGGAACACTAAATATCGTAAAACAAAGCAAGTACAGAATGCTAATTCCACCAGGTAAATAAAAATACAAGTTTCCATAAAAAAAAAAAAAACCCTTAAGAAATACTTATAATCTAAACACGGTTTTATAGAAAGAGATAAGCAGTCAAATAATATTCCCAAAATAACACAGCACTCTGATTGGTTGGGCCTTTAAATATCCCGTCTTTTAAGATTCAGACTTCAATCATTAATACTGTTATTCAGTAATCATGGAAAACAAAAATTTCAAAATGTTTTTCCTACACTTAGAAGGTAGTGCTTTTGATATATAAAAAAGTAAGAGGTAATACAATATTATACTTCATAAATCCAGATTTTAAAAAGATCAGATACCATGAAAATAGTGAAATTCTTCCTATTTCCCCAGAGCGATATTCCATAAATTATTTGACCACATTCAAATGGGAAACTGTATGCATACTTCATTTTATACATCTGGTAAAAACAAAATGTAAAGTGAGCACACTAAAATGGTTTCCTGTTTTTAAAAATTTTAGTAATAAAGGGTGCTGGAAAGGAAATAATGCTCTTGTTAAGTATGAGACTACCCCCCAATTTATTTAGTCATGATCATGATCTGTTTACCATGAAATAAACCCATACTGGGCTATATAGCTGGAGACTTAATTTGATGTAGTCCTCCATCCCCACCCTGCAACACAAGTCCATGTCTATAAATATCCATCCGACTATGAAGTAAACACAACAGGAAAACATTTATAAATGTTCAATCTAGGAGTTAGGTATGTGGGTCTTCACCACCTTATTCTTGAAAATAATAATCATCGCTACCCTCTCAAACTTCAGAAACACATTTTAACATTATTAGATATTGTAACAAAACTCTTAACACACACCACCTGAAACTAATAAAAAATAAAATAAAAAAACCTCCACACACACAAAATGTTTCAATACCACAGTACTCCCCAAGAAATTTCCTCTATTACTGAAAAAAAGTTACTTTTATTTCTGACTAGTCCCATTCGAAACTAAATTTCACACCTTTTAAAAGGTTTGAACATATTTTGATTGCATTCTTTCACAAGACATTTCCTTTCAACCACACATTTATTTTCTTTTTCTCATTCAAAATCTAGGTTGTAATTATCAACCTAACTGCCATTTATTAATTAGTGGCTATTTAACATTCACACTGATATTTAGTAATATAAGCTTTACATATAAACACCAAGTTACTGAAATATTCAACAAGTATGTTTCTGAATAAAACATAGATATAATTTCAATTAGTATTTGAGAAACAAGATCCAACATTTCAGTTACTGTTCTTATTGAGAATTTGTTTCTATTAAATCACGATTCCAACTAAAATGGATATTTCTTCCCTCATATTACTGATATTGTAAGTAGAGTTAAAAAAAAATTTTAATCTCTTCCAATGAATGCTCAACAATGATTTTAAATAAAAAAATCCAAAACTCAAGGAAGAATAAAAAATTGAGCTTTATGAAATACAAATGAACCAAAAGTTCTTTAAATGAAAACTGGATCTGTCAAGAAGAAAATTAATGCATTTATTTTCAAAATAAACAAAACCAGGAAAATTCTGACAACATACACTGCTAAAATAAAACAATTAGGAAAATAGTCCTTTATTTTATGCATATTAATTACATATTAATAGCATATGAGACCTAAATTCTGCCGATTTTAAACTGTTTCAAATCATGACACAAAAAGAAACATAATATTGTGATATTATATACTAAAATTGTTTCATATTACCTTTTTAAGGAAAGAATTATGGTAGCATATATAACAAATTTACACTTTAGAAAAACTAAATTCTTTATTTTTATGTCTACCACTTTTAAGCAAATGACATTCAAATATCTTCCTCAGTACACTAATTCACAAGAAAAAATACTGACTGAATCATCCAGAGTTAACTACAAGAAGACTCAAAACTGAGTAACTAGGAGTTCACAGATGCTCCACTTGACTGTCTCAGAAGCTGACTTGTAAGCACTGGAACAAGGATTTTCTTGATGCAGGGAAAAGGCTGTGTAGAACTCTGTTCCTGGAGCCAGAGTTGAGCCGGACACTAGAAAGTTCAGGAGATTAGGACATCTCTTTGTGCACTGGCTTTCAATGTTCTTGAATGAATCTTACATAATTTCATAGCCCTGACCAAAGATAGCTTGGTATTAACAGCAAAGGGTCAAGTTTCTCCCAACCTTAATGCAGCTTTGAAGCAAAACACAAAGCTAAAAATTACTGAAGGATATATGAATAAAAATGTAGATGGGAAAAGTATATTTAGGCACAATATATGTATTACTTGAAATTTATAGCTAATGCTAAAACTCCCCACACTGAAATTAATGTCCAAATTAAAAGAAATCCCACCCCAGCAACTCATACTCATGGAAAATGTTATAAGAATAGTCTCTAACTCTTTTTTTACAATCTCTAAGATTTCCAAAAACAAAGCCTGTGAATTTTGCAAATTTTAGAAAATGATTCCATCCATAATGTTGTCTAAAAAAACAGAATATGAAATAGTACATAAAAAAATTTAACTGATACAAGTCATCTCAATTATGTTTTATACCCAATTGAGTTTATGCAAGATTTAAAATTATTAACCAAATTCTTTCCCAAGTATGCTTTCCAGCAAAAACAGAAACAATGCAAAAATGAGGTACATAGTTTTAAATAGAGGTTCATTTTTAAATAGCACGTTATTCTTCAGAAATATGCTAAAAGCATAATATATTAACACTGTATTATGTGAGAAACAACTGGTATAATGGCTGATGCATTAGATTTGTGGTCTAGCTTAAAAATGATTCCTTAAATGTAATTTTAAATTAAACATGGCTAACACACAAAATTTTAAATATAGCAAGAACTGTGTTTTGGAATAAAAGTTATAATGTGATAAAATCAATTTTTCTCTGGTATTAAAATTCAAACTTCAAAATATGATTCCAATGACCTGTTTTTTAAAATTACCTCTTGAACTGTATTCCTTGGAGACAAACACACCTAGACCGTCAGACAAGTATACTGGAGAGACTTACCAACTATCAGATAATATTTACAAACATTGTAGTCAGCCCATCTTGCATACTGCTAGAAACCAACCTTCTCAATAAATGCCTAATTTCTTCTAAACCACAGAGCAATCCTCACTTAACATCCAACCTAACAGTATTGTTTGATTTTAAAGAAAATGTAAAGGGTAAGATCTAGATATTGACACCAAATAATGGCAGATGAGATTAAAAATAGACATTATTTTATAAGCAAAAGAGATTTGCCTTCAAACAGTTTTTTTTCAAGATTGAAAAGATTTATTTGCAAAAATCAGCACAGGACAAAGATATCCTTAATATTCCTTCTCGGAATATTTGAATATTCAGAATCTATATGAAATGTGGACAGCAACTCTGGTTTCACAGAACATCAATGGTTTACACAAAATGTAAACTGCCATGCCCCCCAATGTACTACTCTATCACCCTTTATTAACATAAGCTTTCACTAAGTTTCTGTCTTCAGTACTACTTGCACAAACTAAAAAGCATAAAATTATTTTCATTTTTAAATGGCTGGGATTAAAGCAACCAAAGTATTACTGTTACAGCAAAGTTTATTAAAACTATAAGAGAATTCCACTAATAACATTTTTAAATTATCCAAAATGATTTCTTTATTGAGATTAAGTAGCTACACAGATTCACAGTACTATGGCATACTTAGATTTAGCTAAGGTCACAAACACATTTTAACATTCACAATGATGAGCATCATCATTACCATTCTAATCTACAAAGCTAATGAATGAAGAAAAATACAAAAACCTCAAGTTTTACAAAAGAAAAACTTTAAAGTCTACAGACATTAACAAAAAAAAAAACAAAAAACAAAAAAAAAACATTTCTTCCAGGTCACAGGTTAAAGTGTAAAGGCATACCACTGAATTTTTTCTCTCTCAATAGCCAGGAATGAAAGAATGTTTAATATCTCCGACGCTTATTAGGGCCTTCAAAGTTGCCCCCTTGGCTTCCTCTACCAAAACCAGCAGGACCACCACTAACAGGACCTACACCACTCATTGGGGCTTGAGGGGTTTCAGAACCTGTCCTACTACCCATAGGTGATCCCATCTGAGAAGGTGGTCCTTGCGGAAATCTATCATTGTGCTATAATACCACATAAAAAATGTGAAGTCCATTTGGAACACGCCAAATATAAGTGACAAGAAAAATTGGCAAAATCCCAAGTGGTGGTGTCATGAAGTTCAGCAGAAAGTCCAGCAGAATCAGGATCACACATAGAAGGAAGAAAGGAGCAATTTAATTAGTTACTCTGTTTAAAAAAAAAAAAAAAAGCAGCATCTGAAGTGTTACATATTGCTAATGCTATGCCCCAATTTCATTTAAAAAGAACTGATTTATAAAGCAAATACCATCTTAATTAAACCTTACGAGTATTACAATACTATTCTCATATTTTTTTAAAGAAGTTTATATTGCATGTAATTTTGCTGTATAATAAAAATACTTTTCAAAAAATCAGAGATAAAACTGGGGAGCAGCATCACATTAAGAAAGTAAACATTCTAAAGATTTCAACAGCAATGCTTTTAACACAGAAAGTACTAAGGTACTAGTACAAACACACACAGAGTTATCATTATGAAATCTTCTGAGATGTTTTCCTGTAAAGGCTACTATCGGGAAAATAGATTGTTTTAAAAATTGACAATTTATAAACATATACTACTAGCACAATTAAACATCTGAATCATATCCTTTTAAAAAACTTCACACTAATAACTACATATATTAATCTCAAAGGCTGAACAGAACTCCCTATGTGCAGTAGTAAAGAACCAGTATGAAAAAGACCAGAGATGACACCTAAATAAAGTTTACAATTTCAGGGGGAGGGGTGGGAAAATGGGCCGTTCAGTATTACTTCTAAGTTACTGCTACTGATTATATTGCTACACAAAAACTTAACCAAAGGGGTACAAGTTTTTACTAACTTTCAGACATTTTCCTATAAAATGAAGCTTGCACTGAAGAAACAAGTACACTAATTGTGTTACGTGCCATCTGGTCATAATAGATATGATGGCACAACCTCTTTATCTCCCTGTACAAACACATTAAACAAAACTGTTAGCGTGTCCAATTTTTCCAAAAACATTAAAAGATTGCATTTAAAGTGAATACATTTTAAAATGGTAAAATCTGCACCCATCAATTCTAAGCCGCACATTCATTTTTAACATCTCTGATATCACGAAGGATTTAACGGCTGATAGAATGTCTGAGTTTAACTTGTAGTGTTTTTTCTTTCTTACCGTGTTTCCCCCAAAATAAGACCGGGTCTTATATTAATTTTTGCTCCAAAGACACATTTTATTCATGTACAAAAATCTACATTTATTCGAATATAGTCATGTCTGGCTGACGATCTTAACTGGGGCTTATTTTGGAGTAGGGCTTATATTGCACCCTGAAAATCATGCTAGGGCTTATTTTCTTGTTAGGTCTTATTGTCGGGGAAACACGGTAGCAGCAATGGCGTCGTAAGACTTTTGTGGTAGTACCAAAATTAAACCGCCTTTTCAAAAAAGTATCGATCAAATTTCCTTTTCTAATTGGTATTTAGAATCACCACTGACGAAAACCAAATGAGAAAATGTTTTACCAATATAAAGCCTCATTTAAACAGTGATAGACTTGAAGAGAAATGAAAACAGGTATCAGTCTTGCTACTGATATGCAATATATTAACAATCACAACTGATAAATGTTTTTATAATAATGCACACAAAGATATCTTCACACTCTCAAAACAAGACTAAAACCGTCTACTTTAAATTTAATAACAAAAATGTAATTAGTAATTCCACAATGTAAGTTTAAAGCTTTTTAACTTTAATGTAAATTATTTTAGTTAAAATAAATTCTCTGAAATTAATCATAAGTGATCTTTTTCTTAGAAATGTTTACTAAAAACTGCTTTTCTCAAGTATTGGTTTTGTCCCCAACCAAAGATAAAGGAGTCCACACAGGAAAAGAACACAATCATAAAATATTTGATCATTACATTGAATGCTGATGAGAGGTGGACACAAATTAAAAGCACTGTAAAAAAAAAAAGAACTGTAATTAATGTGTTTGCTACATACTTAAGTGCAAAGCATGCCATGGATGTTGGTAATCATAACTCTCAGGATACTTAAAAATTGCCTTTCATAGATCAACATATAACTTCACAGAATTACTTTTTCTTCGTTGGATATTGATCTTTACTGCCAAAACAAATGATGCCAAATTATGTTAAGTGTGAAGTTACCTTTGGGGCAAAAGTATATATTATTGAATATAATCAAAATAATGTTTGTGATACATTACCACTGCTCCATTATCTGGCATCATTGGAGTTCCCATATTTGCAGCTCCTTCTGGTCCCATGGCAGGACCAGGACCCATTGGTGGGCCAGGTATAGTTCCTCTGTTGTTCATATTCATACCCATCATTGGAGGAGGACCTTGGTTACCAGCAGGTGCTGGGCTAAACGCATCTACGCAAAACAATCTATACTTAGAGCTGTCCTATCTTAGTTCAGTAAACATTAAAAATGTAACACTTATGCAATCTATATAGAAGACTATCAAAACCATTTTCCTTCCTTGAGAAATGGGACACCCAATTATCTACTGTAACAGAGCATTACCTATGCTAATATAAATTTCATGCCCCAAAACGTTAAGTATATAAAACAAATGAGACAACTATCAATTATTTTAGGACGTTTGAGACTCTAAAAGCTTGAAGAGTTTTTAAAAAATCAGTATTATTTGCTATAGTCTGCTTTCCAACCAAACAGTCCCTTGCAATGGTGACTAAACTCTACCAGTTTAACAGCAAAGAATTAGCACTTAGGAAACCATTTAATTTTCTTAAGGTCAAGACTAAAAATATTAGCATGGAAATTGCATTAGGCTGTAAGCTGAGAATCCTTTTCCTCCAATATATACAGAAGGTGCCAAAAAAATGTATACACACTTTAAGAAAGGAAAAACTATTAAAATTGTAATACTCAATATATACCAATAATAAAAGATGGATACAAGTCATGTGTATATTTTTGGGCACCCCCGGTATATAAAGTTCACTGTAACTAATCTCTTGACTTCATAGTTACTGAACATCTCCCAAAATTATAGGTTCTTTTACTTTATGTAGACATATGTAATTTAAAAATATATAAGTGAAATGACTCATCATGACAAAACTTATATTTAAAAGCAACTGCAACCAAATACAGATAAAATATTAATACAGCACTTTGAATTTTATTGACATGGTGAAATTCTGCAAACGGTAACAACTGGGTATACTTCAAATTTTTCCATCAGAAAGATATACCCCTGCCTCATGTTAATTGCAGTAGTGTTTGAGCTGTAATATAATACTGCAAAACAGCATTTTTAGGTATCTTCAAATATTTTCCACTTTTAAAGTACTCATATTCTTGATCGTTAAAAATTCATAACAAAGACTCATCAAATTTCATTAGGTAGGTAAATTTTCTGACACTCAACTCAATTTCTCAAAAACACATAACAGGAGTTGAAGTTTTCATTCAAACCCACAACTCTACACCATATCTAATGCAGCTGAACTCTGTCAGGAAGAAGCCTCACTCCTTAGCAGTCCCTAGCAACATGCTACTGCTCTTTCTGAACCGAATCCCCAGGAACCTAGCAAATTCACTAGGAAGGAATTATTTCCTTAATCCCTAAATAATGTTCTTGCTTATAAATCTATCCTTTATCCAAAAATGTATTCCCCTGGGATAGCTACAAAAAACTTTAGTAAACTTCCACAACATATCTCACAATGGAAATGAGAAAGGGTGGGAGACTAGGAGGAATCTTACCTCAACTTTACCTAAAAACAGCCGATCAAGAATTAGGTGTTTTGTTTTTTTTTAAATAGAATATAATTGTTACACCTAACTTGTGAGATTTGAATATAATTATACAACTATGGGTATAATAAAAATAACTAAAAAATAATCCACCCAGATCAGTAGTTGAAAGACTTCTTATTTTTAGAAATTACGTCTTCCACCACACAGCTATAATTAAGCTAAATTTAAAGATCTAAGAAACATTAAAATTATCTGGTCCCCTGAAAAAGTTTCATATCCTATGTTTCAGTTGGTATACACACTGGTAATACCAAAAAATCTACTTACACATTCCATCAATGTAACTTTACAGGATATGACAATTTACGGCCTCAACAGTTCCAACTGCATGATGACACATAACTCCAGTAAACCATTAGGATAAAATCTTATGTTGAATAAAATGTAAAGAGGAAATTAAATGAATTAGAACTTTAGGGGAGTTGAGTAAAGGCTCAAATATTAAGTATGGTCCTCTGGTGAATAAAATGCCATAAAAATTTTAATTCCATACTAAGGACTCTAAAGGCATATTCTCCTATTTCTTCTGAGAAAATTGCTAATCAGTCAGTCAGCCAGAATCTTTCTCGGGGTCTCTGCAACATCAGAAATATTTCAAGTTTAGTTCTGATGTTAATGACAACCTAGTAATTATAATGGCATTTCAAACTACCTACAATCCATAATAACCTCACACTTACATCCTTAAAACCACCTAGACTGTTAGGCACCATCCCACATTTTACTTTGAAAACAGACAAATACTGAACTACTGATACTTATTATATGCAACTCTGCTTCATAATTTACAACTTTTTATGTACTCTTTGTTTACTGATTATTTCATGTATCCATCTTATTAACTCACAATTAAGTTTCTTATGGGTAAGGACCATGTTCCTTGCTTACACTGCACACTAGAGATGCTCAGTAACTATTTTGCTAGATAAGAAAAGTGACCAAGTAAACAGCAATAAACGATTTTAAATCATCTGACTGGCAGTGGCAAAGAAACTGCCATGAGAGGTAGGAAGAAAGCTGATTGTGGAAAACGCTCATTCCACATATTAGATAAGCTTTAAGGTTTTTTTATTCCATACGTTCTATAACCTAACGACAGGCTGGGTTTTCTCAGTGGGTGTGCATGTTATGCATATTAAAATGTTAAGATAATGTAATCTTTACAACATGTACATTTGCGTTACGTAAAGATTTTAACCTGATGACAGCATCTGTGGGAAATGTAAAATGAATATATAAAATTTATCTAATTTTTTAAATGTATCACATTTCAAATTTAGTAATACGAAAACATTTCACTTATTTTTCCCTAGCTTATTTACTTGATACTGTTTCCCTGACAACCTAGTTTTATAGCCAATCAATCAATATTAAAGATGCTAATACTATAGGCATTTTTCTTAAAAACTTTATATAAACTCTAAAGATGTGCATTGGCCTAAATGTGCAAGACACATCTCATTTCCTTGACAAGTCACAGATGTCTCTAAACAGTGCATTTCTGTGCACAATACTGTAGGTTAGGGCAAAATATGTTAGACATTCAGTAAAACGAATATAAATAGCTACACAAAAGGTTAACTTAATAGGAATTCATAACACTTTCAAAGGTTTAGAAACACTACAACTCAAAAACTATCAAATTTCCAAAGTAAAAAAGCCAATGTGAAAGCATGAAATTTGGTTTTTAAAATATTCACCACATAGCTGTAGTACACCATGCAATTACTGAACAAGTTTCAGGTTGTATCAAAACCTGGTTACAGGTTTCGTTCATCAAATCTATGAAAAGATAATATATCTATCTTGTAGCCTTCAAATGAAAATATATAAATGTAAGAGATTTCACCATCACCAATTTTGGTTCCAAATTTTAGTTTGTTACTGATATGCAGATACCATCAAACAGCATGTACAGTTCCCCAAAAAATGACAAGTAAGTTACAGAAGCCTTTGCTTCAAATCCCTACCTCCCATGTTTATTGCTCCACGGGGACCCATATCACCCATTCTCATTTCCTGTTCTCTCTGTAAGTAAACATAGTTGTCACAGTCAACCTATCAATCTTATGATATTACATTTCCTATCTAAAATGAAAAGGAAAAGAACAAATTGGGTCATCACTTTCCATTAAAAAATTGTTTTTAATTTTCCAACATCTTTTACTTAATAAGGACACTGAAATTTCAATCTCCCAGGTTTAATACACTACAAATGCTTAAAGCACCCAGTTTATATTGAAAGATTATCAATGAGTTAGAGTACATAAAGTTTACCACAGACTATGTTTTTATTCCAGTAGATCAAAGACACATGCCTAGATTTCAAGAAAAGAAAAATCTATTAATAATAACCACCAGAGCCAATTATTTTTCCTCCCAGGTCACTAAAGTCTTAAAACAGAAATGACTGTTACCACTTTTATATACAAATGCATTCAAACATACAACTGAGGAGCACTAAGGAGGAGCTGAGGAGCACTAAGCTACAAACAGTTAAAGACAGTTTTCACTTTTGAAATATTGTGATTCATCTTTGCATTTTTATTCATGTACTCAAGCATTATTTCACCCAGGACCTATAGATACCATAAAAGTCTCAACTACACACGCATAATCACCAAAGGCTCAATATAACATTGCTTCCTTTATGAGAACAAGAGTTTTACTTGGAAACCTAAATAAAAGTGTTATTACACAGTTGGCAAGTTCTGAAACAAAATGCTCTTGAGTTTAATGACACAAAAGGTCATACAAATGTATAAAATATCTTAAATTTCAGTACAGAAATTGCTTCCTAATAACTATTTAGTAACAACAGCCATAGAATTAACTTCATTGAAATCTCTAGGTGAAATCAACATATTATAGTTGAAATTTGCACTACTATTTGATAATCGTTTCCAGTATCAGACAAGTGTTTAAATGTAGCAATTATAAAAACCATTCTGAGACAAAAGTAACAATGTCTGAATCTAAAGAAAACATAATTTTTCTATTTTTAAACCCACTTTATTAAAATGGGTTTAAAATCTTATTTAATACAAAATACTGGTGAATCGCACATATAAAGCCAGAAATAAAGGAAATAAATGCCTATGATGGATGAATACGACTAAGCAGCACAGCACATCAACCACCCATCTAACCTAATGGACAGTCTTGCAAAGGAACTCTTTAATGAAGTGACAGTACTAGAAAACCACCAACAGTAGCATCATGAAGAAATGTTTTGTCACATTATTTAGAAAAGCTAAATGCCAAATGTTTCTCAAAACTATTTTTTGCATTTTTCTAAAAATAAATCTCTTTCATAAAACTTGACTATTAATGGATACTATAATTGACCAAGAAAAACCTATTTTATTTATAAAGCTGACTACTGATGAAGCCATATAACTTTCCAATTACATGGAAAGCACTATTTTATAATCACATGTAGCACTACTATCAATCAAACCACACTGTCAATTCCTGAACTTACTGATAAAAGTGTAGACTGCACCAGCATACTACCCAAAGTCAGCCGTGTATTATTTACTGCAGATATTTGTTACTGAAACGTTGGTTGTACTCCAGCACTACAGAGTAAAATACATAGATTTTATAAATATGACATTTTAGGAGGACAAGGGTTTAATTTGTATTTTTACTTTTGGATTTGCCTTACCTATGAAAGATTAGAAATGCAACATCTAACCATTTAACAAAAGGTAATTATAGTCTCACTGTTTGAGACTTCAATTTTCAAATTCCCCTTATATACCCTAATGATTCATTGTTGGGGGCAAGGGGGACAGACTACCATTGTTATTGTCTTTTTATAACTTCAGCTTTACCTATCACTTTCTGAAATGACAGTGTTCAGCTTTATTATTCACAAGTACTTTTAAAAAAATTTCTTAAATTATTCTAGTATTCCCTTTTCTTCACTAACACAATTTTGTGGAAAACATATTCAAATACTAAAGGGATCTATGGTTTTGAGTCAACCATTCAACAGTGGCCATAACATTCACTTCCTGATGCTCTATTATAAACTGGTTCCAGTTCTAAAATATTTCTTTTAATGAAATAATCAGAATGTCCTACAATAATCCATGCTTATAATATAGCATATTGCTATGTTAAAATACCAATTCATGTTGTACAGCATTTTTCACTAAATATACATATACTCAATTTATTAATGTTGACATTTCCTTAAAAAAATCATTCAGTACTATTTTATACATCTTCAATCGTAAGATTAACAAAAAGACAGTATGATTAAGTGACAGATCATTTTTTAACTATTTTAGATGGAGGAATAGTGTGTCTTAAAGGTTACTATTTTGTTCTATAAATCCACTGCTATTTACTTCTAGTAAAATGAAAGAGACAGAGATTTTAAGGGTAGTGTTATCAATGGAAATTAAGACAGTACTTCTCATTATAATTTCATATATCAAATATTAATAAGGAGACTCACTTGACAAAGCTCACTATAACTGGGTACTCACCCAAGATGCAATAAACAAGGCCTTTACCTTTATGAATTACTTCAAATACATTTTAAATTACAACTGGCACACACTATGTGATATTTTTAGAACACAAATTTGAATGATGCTTTATTACTTTAGCAGAAATTAAGAGTTGTAGTTTAACATAAAACAACCTATATGTAAACAAAATCTCAAAAGGCTGCAGTGCAATGAAATGATAAAGCTATAGTGAAAACTGTTTTAATTCAAATAATCCTCATAGCAACCCTATGAAGTAGGTTTGTTATCCTATTTTAGAGGTCATAAAACGGAGGCACAGAACTGTTAAATAATTTACTCAAGGTCATACATATAGTAACTGGCTGAGCTGACCTACAAAATTCTACCAAAAGAGAGTTCATCAAATTTTCACCAAAACACCTTCAGTTTTCAAAAATTCCAACAAAAACTTACAAAAGACACCATTTTTAAATTTATTTTTTACAATGTTTAAAAGGCATGCCTTTCCATAAAAAGAACTGCACATAAGTATTATTGAAAGATTATCACTGAAGTATGCTTAAATTCACAGATGACCAAAAAAGTTAGCAAACTATGACTGATTTCCAGAACCACATATCAAAGCGGCATTCCATTAAGACAGCACTTCTCAAAATGTGGGTCATGGAGTACGGAGTGAGAGTCCCTGTGCCCTTTTAGGGAGTGCACAGATTCAAAACTATTTCATGTCTTATTACCACTCAAACACAGTTATAATATTATGATCTAACTGGGCTTTTACTCTCAATATTCGTAGATGGTGCAAAAGCAACGGTGGGCAAAATACCTGGTGTTTTGGTACAAATCAAGGCACTTGTGTTCAATTTTTACCAGAAATCACTGTATTCTTCACATGCACACAATAGAAGTTTAAAAATTTCAAATATGAATACCTGGATGAAGCTGTAAAAATTATCCATTTTATTAAATTGCTATCCTTGGGTACCTATTTTAAGAGTCTCATGCTCTACCGACTGAGCTAGCCAGGCGTTTGGGTACCTGTCTATTTTAATCTATGCAACAAAAGAGGATACATACCTAAAGCACTTCTGCATTCTGAAGTAGAGTGGTTATTTCAAAAAAAAACAATTCAAGTGATTGGGTGGCAAGCTAAAAGAGACACTTTTTCTTGGAACAAGAATTTTACCTGAGACAGCACTGGACAAACTATGATTACTGACTTGTGTGTTTGGCAGACATTTTCTGATGAGAGCAATGGTTGGTATTAAGATGTGGTTTTTAATTTTGTGTAATAAAATACATTAAAATTTGAAATATTTTTGTAACTCGATAAATCAGTATTTTTCTAATGTTGGATACATGACATTACAAAATCATGCCTGGGTAATCCATTCAAAGTTCAAAGCAGACCAACAAAGTCTAATGCAAAAGAGTACTTTTAAGAGTACTGCTTGTCAAGTTTTACTATAATATCAAACAAGAAGATCCACAATTATCTGAAAAGGTTGCCAGTGTGAAGCCAGATTTTTTCAAGTACTGTAACCAAGAGCATTTTGCAACAGGTGGAATGCAGAAGCAAATACGGGAAGCCAGCCATTTTCCATAAAGCCAAACATTTAACAAATTTACAAAACAGTACAATACCTCTCTTCCTATTAAAGTTAACATTAAAGAAATGTGCAAAAATTGTAAAATAAAGCCAATCTCCCCACTACAACCCATTCTCTTTCAAATTTCTCTTTTTCAATTTGTAATATAGTTAATACTGATATATGCTAAACAAAAGCTCTTTGGGGTCTTCAATAATTTTAAATAGTGTAAAAGGATTTCCAAAGCAAAACATTTGAGAACCACTGCTCCAGTCAATATTCGTTCACGAAAATATAAAGTAGCATTCACACGAATGTAAATTAACTAACACAGTATATCCCAAAGTACAGAATTTGATGTTATTCTGTGTGGGATATGGATTTTTTTCCTTTAATACTTAGCTATCAATCTGTGAATTAAAAGATATTGTACTTTTTTAGGTAACCTAACTTAAAGGATTACATGGTACAAAATTAAGGCTAAAATAAAAAAGTATAATATGGGGACAGCCGAGTGGCTCAGTTGGTTAACAGCTCGCTCAAGAGTTTGAGCTCTGAGCAACAGCAGTTCGATTCCTGGCCTGAGCTGAGCAGCCACTGAGCTGCCAACCAGTGGCAGGATGGCTCAGCTTAAAAAAAAAAAAAGTATAATATGAATGCCTACGGTTTGGGAAACAGCGAACTAAATAAACACTGACTTAACATAGTATCAACTGGAACATTTTGCTATCAACAACAAAGTATATTCATCTAACACTTTGATAAATCTAAATTCTTTACTCTTCTTTAATTCATAAGGACACCTCATATATGTCTCTAAAAAGCTTCTCAAGATTACCTAGAGACCACAACAAGCCATTTGGGATCCATGTCTTAATTAAGAAAATGCTAGAACTCCTGAGGTAAAAATACTGATACAGAATTTAAATCTAAAAGTAATATATGAGATGTG